GAGCGTGAGAATCATATGATCTCGATGACGCAACAATACTATACAGTAATGACCTCGTTCTTTGACATTTGAACGAGCACATAAATAGTTTACAATTGTACGGTGCGACGTGATTAATTTGCAACTCCACTTTTGTAACTTATTGCAGTTTATTTCGTTTCCCCAGTCTCCTCCCTATTTTCACCCTTAACGTAGCTTTTAATAACGTGTATTATCACGATGTGTAGAAACAAAGTTAGCGCATGTAACAACATGAGTCATCTTGATAAATAACACATGGTTCCAGAATTATCTTTCAAATAAAAGTAAAATTGTTCTAAAATGCTTAAGCCATTATTAAATTTCTGTGTTATTTTTAAAAGCCATGAGCACAAATTAAACTGACGCTGTCTGTGATCTTTTGATACTCGCCAAATAGAAATATAAAACATACCAGATAAATATGTATTTTTATTGATATTCGTGTCAAAAATGTTACTTACTTTGTTTTTTGGCGCAAGGAAAAGGTTTTGTAACCTGTTGTGAGCATGAGCATCAGTCGAATGAGACAAGGGGGCATCTGCTCCCCCCTTCCCAAATTTCAGAAGAAAATTTATTTGAATAATTTATTTTAAAATGTATTAGAAAATAATACTATTTAAATATAAATGACGAAATCAGGTTTAATAAATAAGCCATAAGTAACCAGAGCATCACATTCAAACTTCAAGGCAAATAAATGGCATGTGCTCTGCGATGACTTGCCCCCACCAGGAATAAATTCTGCGGACGCTCCTAGGCGTAAGCGTATTTTCTATCTCTATCCAACGACTTTGACCAGAGTACATGTACCGATGATGTGCGTGAGGGTGTTGAATTGAAAGTGATGTTCAGAACGATCATTAAAATCAATGATGACTTAAAACATTTTTCATATTGAATTTCTAATTTGCTTTCTTTATGAAAACAATAACAAAATATTCACAAATACTTATTAGTTTATTACCTTAACATTGAAAAACAGTAGTCTAATCTCAACTGTTGTTTTCAATTTTACTGATACTATTTCAGTTGATACTTAGGTCCTAAGTATAGTAGTGCAATAGAAAGTTCTGATTAAGTCAAGTTAGAAATATTTGAATCTACTATTTTAGAGTATATATTGATGGGTACGTAATAGACGGTTACCTACAAATGTTTATTATAAATAAATGATTCGCGAATAAGCATTAGTTTCTCAGGAAGCTGTAGTAGACTAGGCAACTGTCTGTAAAGTCTGAGCTACTGAGTGGGGGAAGCGCTATTGATCATAGAATTCTGCAATTAAAGCTGCTTGATGCTTAGGTTGTAACTTGCATTGGAGTTATTTCTAGAGAATTAGAAAAATGATAAAAAAAGATCGACAGACGTTCTTTTTAAGACTTGATTAATAACTTTTTTAACTAACAGAGCAACAGGTAATGGGGACTTGATAGGGATTAAGCTACTCCAACAAAGTGCTTACTGTTATTGTTAAAGCGTGTGTACCCACAAGTTGTAAAGTGTAACCTTCTCATTTTTTTTTTATCCAGCTTGATCACTTCTGTCCCCTCACAGAAAAGAGGGTAGTACTGCCACTGCAATATAATAATTATCTAAGTATCTTCAGTATTCATTTTAATATCATTTGTAATTGTTTATTCATTTTGTCAGATATCTAAAATCATATATACTGTTACGTCTCCGTTTGTTAATTGATTTTTCCGTAACTTCGTTCCAACGAAACTTTAACGACACAAGTC